TGAGCCCCCCCCCCCCACCCCCCGACAAGGCGTTAACATTCCATCGTTATATCCGTACCGCAAAACGCGTTAAGTACGTTAAAACGAATTGCTGAGGAGTTTCGTATGTGTCGTGCTACGTCGACCTCGACTCCGTCGACATGTATTTAACACTGGTGATACTGTACGCGAGGTGAGCACTAATGTGGCCCCAAAAGAGTCGAGAAATCCGCGGCGAAGAATTCGGGATTACGAGGGGCTAAGCGTCATCCAAACATTTGCGCAGTCAATCATCAATATTTTACTTCATTAAAATTCACAACTCCGAGGAATGCGAAAATAAACGGAGTATCATGTTCAGCTAATCACTTGTCCGGTGCACCGACGCTGATTAACCGTGATTGCAATGCTTTAATGCCCCAATGTCTGGCGATCATGATGATTGAAAGATTACGGCTGTGGAATTTTCAGATGAAAAAAAAACAGAGGAATGCTAATTTCCAACGGATATGACTACGCGCACTCTGGAATGCTGAGGCTATCGCATATTTCACGGGAAATTACTCTCATTGCGTAACCACACGCTCATCTTACGGCAAGTGGATCACCTGTGACATTCCGCCCACGTAATTGTTTACGCTGTTTTTGTGATTTTAATGACTTCGTGAGTTGCGGAATTGACTGAATGGGGGCTTGCGATCGTTCAAATTTGAGTTTTGGATTTTTTGTTGGATCGATCCAGTCACCGATGAAAATTTTAATAGGAAAACTTAGCGAATGCGCTAGACAATTCTATTGGATTTCTATTGAACTTGTTATTAGTTTTTGGCCGATTCTATTAAACTGCTCAATAGAAAATATTCTGTAGATAAAGTCAACAGAATTCGATTTTTCTGTACAACTTATTCTGTCGAGATATTTTCTAAAGAATTTCCTCGGCTCAAATTTTCAAGTTTTTGTGTTCGATTTTCGTGATGAGAAGAGAAGAAAAATGGAGTGAAAACACTTAGAATCCGTTGTGTAGAAGAAAGGAATAATAAGAATAATGATGATGATAACATTCAACTAATTTAATTGACAAATTCGATGATGCGCTTGACTTCGGGGCTTCATAAATTGAAGAATTGATCGATCTTTTGATTAATTGGTAACAATAGGGTATTTCCAGAATTTTTTTCATGTTGACAAAATTGAAATTAATTTTTTAGACTTCGGGAATCCAATGCGCGAGCAATTTCATGATGTTATCATTTTTTTCATTGAATAAAAATTTGGAATGATCGTTTCTCAATGATTTCTCTAATTAGAAAAACAACAATTAGCAAAGATTGACTTCGAGTTTAGAAATTCGACATAAATAATGGAATAAAAGAAGAATCAATTTCAGTGAATATCACCAACGGCCAATATTTTTTTTTATGACTTTCATAGCTGAAAAAATGATTGAAATGACTAATTTAGATTTTATGAAGTCCAATAAAATGAAATAAAAAAAAATGAAATGAGTAAAACAAAATTAAAAGAATTGTTATTGATTAGTAATTAAGAATATTTAATTGTACTAAATATTATAATCACTAAAATAGAATAAATATTACGAATTGAAATAATTAGAATAAAGAAAAAAAAATAATTGGCGAAGTTTCATTCAGGATTTCCACATTTGCCATTAACAATACAATGGAAAAACAAATAAATTGCAGGCAATGTCGTTATTATCAAACATCAACGAGCAATGATTTTTTTTTCATTAGACTAGTTTCAGTGGTGAAAGCCATTACATATGCACGATGTGGCTGGCTTCCAAGATCGTAAGTGTTTTAATTGATGCTCGAGGAAGATCGAGTTCTTTTTTCCGGATACACATACATCTTGCTACGTGTATTGGCAGACCAGTCGGCGCTGGAATGTTGCGCTGACATAATGAATAGAATTAATGCTTCATTTTAAAATCACGACTGATGTTCAGTATTCGAGGATGATATTAATCGTGTTGGGATGATGGTAATGAGACTTTGAAAAATCATTATTGATGAATCAATCCACTTCGTTCAATGATAATGACTGTAATCAGCGATGATGATTTTTCTCTTCATTCTCTTCATTGTTCATTGACTCTTCAAAATTCACATTCATCTCGATTAATTACAGTAATCAGTCGAAGTGAATGGCATTTTCCTAGATTTCAATGATTTGTTTCCTCGGGATCCTTTCGTCATAAAAAGACATGACGTTTATGTTTAAGGGGAGACTACTATGAGTTTTAAAAGTCGTGGGTTATTGGAGTGAGACTTTTCATACGTTGAAGATCGATCATATAGATCTGAAAACAAATAATTGGTGCAAAAAAATTTTTTTAAATGCTAAAAATAGTCTAGGGCCTCCAATTTTTGAGCTACAAAAGATATTTTTTTCTCAAAATTTCCGGAAAAATGTGTGGAACAATAATTACGAGCTAGTTTTTTTTAAATTTGACTCCTACACAGCTGATTTCGGTTTTTTTCATATAAAAAAATTCACCATTTGTGTAAAAATACAAAAAAAGCAAATTTAGCCATGTAAAAGGCGAATTAAAAAGAAACTAGCTCGTAATTGTTATTCCCCATATTTTTCCGAAAATTTTGAAAAAAAAAAAATCCTTCGTAGCTCAAAAATTAGAGGCCCTGGACGGTTTTTAACATTTTAAGCGTTTTCGGACAAACGAACAATAGCAAAATTTTTTTTGCACTAATTATTCGTTTTCAGATCTATATAATCGATCCTCAACGTATGAAAAATCTCACTCCAATAACCCACGACTTTTAAAACTCACAGTAGTCTCCCCTTAATCTCATATTTTGTTTTCATTCGCGCGGGTTTTCCCTATGAAACCAGTTATTGTATTATTGGAAGAATATCTCATGAGGGCAAATGTCACATTCCAATGAGATAAAAGCCACATTCTGTTTTTTTGCATTCGTTCAGAAAATTGTTAATTTCTCCATTCCTTTGTTTCGATAATTTTTTTTCTCGTTAATTACCCGTTTACTCTTTACAATCCACATTCACTTCGACGGAGCCGGGTAATAAATACATTTTCCTAGCGTTCAATGATTTTTTTCTTTTTGAAGATTGAAGAACGTCTCGTAAAAAGAAATGACATTTGTCTTTGACGAGATTGAAGAACAGAGAATATGATTTTGTTGGAGAATAAATTAAATTAGTGATGGATGAATGAAACTCCGGGTCAAAAATGATCGAAATGCGGGAATGAAATGACGAGTCATTCATATTCATGCGCCATCCGATTTTCGCTGGTTTAATCAATTCCACAATTAATCTCACATTTTTTAAATAGTTCATTTTATTATACTTCTTCTCAATAGTTATCATGTTTTATATTATTATATTGTGAACTTCTGTATTGTTTCGCATTCGCTCAGCAAATTGTTTAATTTATCAATTGTTTTGTTTCGATAATTCTCTTTCTCGTCATCAATTGCTCATTTACTCCTCAAAGCCCACATTCACCTCGACGAAGTAGAGCAATAAACACATTTTTACTGGGAGTTGCGGAATTTTTTCTCAATAAATCCTAAATCTCTTTGAATTTTTTAAAATTTAATTCTGTTCAATTCAATTTATTTTTAAAATTCTTTTCTAGTGTTTATTTTTTTTTCTTTCGAGATCGTCTCATAAGAAGAAGTGACGTTGAGAATAGGAAATACGAATTTGTTGCGGAGTCAATAAAATTAGTGATGGAGAAATAAAACTCTGGACCAAATTATGGAAATGTGGGAACAAAATTCCGATTCATTCCGGTTTTCGCTGGTTTTATTAATCCCACAATTAATCTCCCATTTTTTCAATTCAATAATTACGATATTCCGGGAAAAATACCGCACACGACCAAACGAAACATTCCAATGAGCTGAAAGACATACTGTGATCTTTTGTATTGTTTTGCGTTCGTTCAGGAAATTGTTAAATTTCTCCATTCCTTTGTCATCATAATTCTTTTCCTTGTCGTTAATCATTCATTTAACCTCCACTTTTTGACCCTTATATTCTGACCCTTAGTGCCCGACCCTTATATTACACTTAAGAGGGCTCGCTACAACCCGGCCTGACACAAAAGCATCATCTTCGAATTGAAATCCCCATCCCCCAATTGAGTATAAAATACAATAAAACAGAGTATACTTGAATGAGTGCAGGTGCATTTCTGTAGTGAATTGGTAAACTAGGATAAGTGCATTTCAACTGAGGACAATTATCAAGCGATATCTCGTAAATAAAAACAGATATCGAAATTTTTGTCAAAAACTTTTTTGTAGCCCACATCTCCCTCTACAAAAAAGGTTCAAATAAAAATTTCGATATCTGTTTTTATTTACGAGATATCGCTTGATAACTGTCCTCAGTTGAAATGCACTTATCCTACTTTACCAATTCACTACAGATTTTATTTCCGCGCAACCTCCCATTATTTCAATTCAATAATAACGACATTCTGGGAAAAAATACCGCATACGTCCATTCCACTGAAATAAAATCCACACCATAAATTTTCACATTCCACAATTTCCCCATTTCAAGGTCAACGATTTTCCCGCACAAACCTCGAGTTTCCCCGCACCTCATCAACCGCCTCACGACTCCTAACGTCAAAACATTAGTTCACAAGTTGACGATAAACTCCGCCGACGATGAGCAAAAAAAAATTGACTTAAAAATGCTCAATTGGGCGGCGTAATTCCAAGGAAGGCCGAGTAATGAAAATATCCCACTAAGAAGTCGGAAGTTGGCCGAAGGGACTTTATGTGTGGCATTGCAATTGACCGTGTCCATGATTCCACACGTACCTTTCGGTGAACGTTAACTCGCATCGTCCGCAGAGCGGACAAATGCCTGTGGAAATACTGAGAGTGGGGTGTGCAGGAAGTTAATGCTGCCACTGTTAGTTGTACACAAAACCCCACCATTAGCTCACCTGTCAGTCAATTGGCTTAAAAGGCACTGTGCCGAACCATTGACTACTCAGTTCGGCACTCCACGTGCCCGACAGTCGTGCCCTGTACCCGCGAATTCGTTCAATTTCTCTTAAATTCCCAACTCCAGAGGCGCAGGCACGATCGCATCCTCATGAATTAATTATTTTCATTTAGTCGACGGATTGATTAATAATTTTCCTCGAACACTAGTCTCGCGGTCTTTCAGCGGAGATTAGTTTTCTCGTCTCGTCGCGCGAAACAGTGAAGCTCTTTTTAATGCAAGTGAAAATAACAAGTGGGTCAATTAGTTTTTGCTGATCGCGTCGGGCAGAATGCACTTGAAAAAAATACTGCGGTGTCTTCGTCATCCCGATGAGCCGCCAGTTGCGTTGGACATCGTCGGTGGAAAGGAGATTGAGAGTCAACAGCAGATTGCTCCCGAGCGGGGCAGTCAGTGGCTGCAGTTCACTGCGGCAATAAGCGGTAAGTCATTGATCATTTCTTGATAGTGGCATTGGAAAATGTTTAGTGGAGTTAGTGGGCATTGGGCGCGCATTCCCGGCGATACGAGCGTGAATTTCATGCGTTCAAATCATTGACGATGGAAAATCGCAGGATTTCAACCAGGGATCGCCGTCAATACTGAATTTGTAAAATATAATGATCAAATTTTATAAATAGGCTCGATGGCGCCAGCTCCGGGTAACGAAAACGTCTGATAAAAAAAGAGTAAATTTGGATGTTCGATGGATTATTTTACCCGGGAGAGTATCCCAAATGAATAAATTTAATTTAGTTTATCTCGGGGACAAAAAATAAAATTTAATCCCAAGGTTAAATCAGTGTTAATTCAAATGGGGTTACAGGATGAATAAAAAGTTATTCTTCGGGTGAAATATTGAAAAATTGTGAGCACTACGATGTAATTGACCACGAGGATAAATTTTAAACTGGGGTTTATTTGGATAACAGGACTTGGCGCAATTTTGATTGATGATGAATTAAAAATTTGATAATATGGAACTGTAAATTTATCATTAAGGGGGGACTAGTATGAGTTTTAAAAGTAGTGGGTTATTGGAGTGAGACTTTTCATACTTTGAAAATCGATCATATAGATCTAAAAACGAATAATTAGTGGAATTTTTTTTTTTTATTGTTCGGTTGCCCGAAAACGCTTAAAATGCCAAAACAGTCCAGGGCCTCCAATTTTTGAGCCACGAAGGATTTTTTTTTTTAATTTTCGGAAAAATATGTGGAATAACAACGAGCTATTTTTTTATTCGCCTCTTACACGGCTAAATTTGCTTTTTTTGTATTTTTTAACACAAATAGTGAATTTTTTTATATGAAAAAAAGACGAAATCAGCTGTTTAGGGGTTGAATTCCAAAAAACTGGCTCGTAATTGTTGTTCCACACATTTTTCCGCAAATTTTGAAAGAAAAAAATTTTTTGTAGATCAAAAATTGGAGGCCCTGGACTGTTTGTACCATTTTAAGCATTTTTGGGCAAACGAACAATAAAAATAAATTTTTTTGCACTAATTATTCGTTTATAACACCACGACTTTTAAAACTCATAGTAGTCTCCCCTTAAGTGAATAATTCAAATTTCTTAAAAGGAGGATTTTCAATTATCGATCAATAAAATAGTTAAAAATTTCAATATTTGAATTGATGATAATTAAATAATCAAGAAATTTAAGAGTGATGTTAACTAATTGACTACAGTATTCAACGGAAAAAATTGTTGTTCGAGTGAATTATCGGAAGTGTTCCGGGAATTGAGGATTTTAGAGAACGTTTTGTTACTGAAATCATTATAATTGAACGATGGAAACATTCCGTGAATTATAAAATCATATTGAGAATGTAAACGACTCTACAATGGAGCGAGGCAAACACAAAAATGTTAATGCGCGTGAGATCTGCGATCCGCTTGCGTAACGGAAATAATTGGATCCACATAATGCATATTTCATGCTACATATTCAGCATCAGCTCCCGCTGCAATCGAATTAGATAAAAATAATAATGGATCGTCTATTTCACGTTTTATGTAGCTCTTGAACTCGATAATCGATTTATCAAGCCCCTGACGATTCCATTTTATATGGAATATTGTGATCGAAATGATTGAGAGAACACGTGAAAAAAAATGTCGTAGAAAAACGTGGGGGATTCCCAAGGAAATTCTATTGCATTTCCAGTTTTTTTTTCAGTAGAAATGTTTAATGGAAAATATTCCGCCGAGAAATCAGTTGAATTAGATTTTTCAAAACAACTTATTTTATTGCGATATTTTCTATGAAAATTCTTCGTCTCTAACTTTCATTTTTCTTTATTTTCATTTTTTTTATGAAAAGAGAATAAAAATAGAACGGAAAAAAATGCAAAAATTAATGTTTAGGAATTCTTATAGAAAATCTCTGAAAAGAAAAATGATATAGAAAGATGAAATTCAATTTTTTTTAAATAAAATAGTTTCTATTAAACATTTTCTGTTGCAAAATTTGTCATTAAAATCGACCGTAAACCAATAAATTTTCATTAGAAATCCAATAGAATTTTCTATCCAATTCGTCACGATTTTCACTGAAATTTTCTTGTGTCCGAAGACAAAACCACATGCTACAAAACAACAAACCAACGGTAAGCATTGCGCAATGCGAAAGACCAGCATCGACACTTCATTCCCTGAATGCTAAGTTACGTGATTCAGAGAATAGCGTTTAATTACATGAAACAGATTGACCAGGTGAATCGGCCGATTACCCCTTTTAACCAGAAAATAAATAAAACTGTGATGCAACGATAAATACAAAATATTTCCTGTTCGAATTGACATGACCCCAATCGAAAATTTTCGCAATTGGCAATCCGTGAAATTCGGTAATAATTTGCAATCGCAACACGCGATGGGGACTGGATGAATACAATATGGAGAGTTCGGGCAAATTACTTTTGAATATTTCATCTCAATTCGATCGATAGAAAATTGCGATTTTTTTATATAATCGACTGTCGACGCATTCATTATGTTTGTACAATTGTCATTTATCAATTCCGATGTAATCCTTATGTTAATTCATACATCATTCCTATTGAGCGTGAGAGATACTATTTGTACATTCTCTTGTAGCCTGCCTCGCAGTAATAGGATGTGGAGGTCACCTTGGCTGGACGTCTCCAGCGCTGCCCTACCTCACCGGCCCCGAAGTGGTGAATCCCATCACGAAGGGCCAGGGCGCATGGATAGTCTCCTGTTACACGATCGGAGGAATACTCGGCTCCCTCCTGACGCCACTGGTCCTGGACAGAATCGGGAGGAAGTACTCGCTGCTGACCTTCGCACTTCCCCAAGTGGCCGGCTGGGGTCTCATAATCGCCGCTCAGAAGCTGATGGTCCTCTACGTGGCACGTTTCATCGCCGGAATCGGCCACGGAGGAATCTTCAACTTGATCACGATTTATCTGGGAGAAATTGCGGACAAGAATATCAGGGGAGCACTGGGCACGTTTCTCAAAGTTTCGGCTAATATTGGTACACTTTTTGTGACGGCTGTAGGTGCTTACTTGCCATACTGGCAGTTGAATCTTGTGTCAATATCTGTTCCTGTCATCTTCATGATAACCTTCGCATTCATGCCTGAGACGCCGTACTTTTACCTGATAAAGGGGAGGATTTCGGATGCCGAGAAGAGTCTGATGACCTTGAGGAGACTGAAGAATCCGGACAGCGTGCGGGAGGATATAAAAATAATGAAGGTGAGGCGGAACTATGATTGAATATTTTTATTAAGACTCCTCCGAAATCTGTGGAACTCAGAAAATAAGATTCATAATCCATAAACGCTAGGATCGCGTCGATTCACTCTTAGAGCCACTGCGCAGTTTGCTGCGCAGCTTGGGCACGGGTACTAGATCGAGTTGCCAAAAATGTATGACAACATATTTTTTATATTATTATCCAGTTATAAGTCGTATTTTTCCAAATAATCATGTTATAGAATATTCCGACTAAACATTAATGACTTAAAGAGTCTGAAACACCCTAAATATTTAGCGAAATCTCGCATCTGTGACAAATTCACAAACATGGTTATTCTTTTCTCGAACAAGTATTTCCACTAAAAATTTACTGATCATTCGCATGAACAAATCACAAAAAGTGTATTTAACAAACAAAGAGTTCTAGATACTTACAACAATTCAAGAAACCAAATCAATTGTAAATATCATATATTTCTATTAAACAATGAAATAAAATGGAATAAAAGTCGTAAGTAATCTGAGTGAGATTAAATGTTAGCTCAGGAGTATTGCCCTGTCAGTACACTCATGGGGACCCTGAGGCTCTTATGGCCCTTATGACCCTAAAGGGTCAGCAGGGTGACAAAGGTCTACCCCTGCTGCCCTTCCTTGTAACATCAAATAAACTTTCATAATAATGTTAAATAAAAGATTTTGACCCTCTTGAACATTCTAACCAATGTGGACCTCAGCCCTTACAGCCCTTATGACCCTAAACGGTCAGCAGGGTCCCAAAGGTCTACCCCCGTTACCTCTCCTTGTAACATTAAATAAACTTCCATAACAATGTAAAATAAGGAATTTTTAACCCTAAATTGTAGGTAGGAAGTGGAAAAACGCAATCCCGAGCCGTCCATCTTCCTATAGGGGACCCAAATTTGGTTTTAAAGCTCTATCTCTCATAGTTTCCGAGATAATCGCGAAAAACGAAAGTCCCAAAAAAATTAATTTAATTTATCTTGTACAGGGGGTAGGAAGTGGAAAAATGCAATTCTGAGCCGTCCGCCTGCCCATCGGGAACCCAAATTTCCTCAGGAATCGAATGGAATAGGTTTTAAGGCTCTATCTCTCATAGTTCCCGAGATAATCGCGAAAAACGAAAGTCCCAAAAAAATTAATTTAATTTATCTTGTACAGGGGGTAGGAAGTGGAAAAATGCAATTCTGAGCCGTCCGCCTGCCCATCGGGAACCCAAATTTCCTCAGGAATCGAATGGAATAGGTTTTAAGGCTCTATCTCTCATAGTTCCCGAGATAATCGCGAAAAACGAAAGTCCCAAAAAAATTAATTTAATTTATCTTGTACAGGGGGTAGGAAGTGGAAAAATGCAATTCTGAGCCGTCCGCCTGCCCATCGGGAACCCAAATTTCCTCAGGAATCGAATGGAATAGGTTTTAAGGCTCTATCTCTCATAGTTCCCGAGATAATCGCGAAAAACGAAAGTCCCAAAAAAATTAATTTAATTTATCTTGTACAGGGGGTAGGAAGTGGAAAAATGCAATTCTGAGCCGTCCGCCTGCCCATCGGGAACCCAAATTTCCTCAGGAATCGAATGGAATAGGTTTTAAGGCTCTATCTCTCATAGTTCCCGAGATAATCGCGAAAAACGAAAGTCCCAAAAAAATTAATTTAATTTATCTTGTACAGGGGGTAGGAAGTGGAAAAATGCAATTCTGAGCCGTCCGCCTGCCCATCGGGAACCCAAATTTCCTCAGGAATCGAATGGAATAGGTTTTAAGGCTCTATCTCTCATAGTTCCCGAGATAATCGCGAAAAACGAAAGTCCCAAAAAAATTAATTTAATTTATCTTGTACAGGGGGTAGGAAGTGGAAAAATGCAATTCTGAGCCGTCCGCCTGCCCATCGGGAACCCAAATTTCCTCAGGAATCGAATGGAATAGGTTTTAAGGCTCTATCTCTCATAGTTCCCGAGATAATCGCGAAAAACGAAAGTCCCAAAAAAATTAATTTAATTTATCTTGTACAGGGGGTAGGAAGTGGAAAAATGCAATTCTGAGCCGTCCGCCTGCCCATCGGGAACCCAAATTTCCTCAGGAATCGAATGGAATAGGTTTTAAGGCTCTATCTCTCATAGTTCCCGAGATAATCGCGAAAAACGAAAGTCCCAAAAAAATTAATTTAATTTATCTTGTACAGGGGGTAGGAAGTGGAAAAATGCAATTCTGAGCCGTCCGCCTGCCCATCGGGAACCCAAATTTCCTCAGGAATCGAATGGAATAGGTTTTAAGGCTCTATCTCTCATAGTTCCCGAGATAATCGCGAAAAACGAAAGTCCCAAAAAAATTAATTTAATTTATCTTGTACAGGGGGTAGGAAGTGGAAAAATGCAATTCTGAGCCGTCCGCCTGCCCATCGGGAACCCAAATTTCCTCAGGAATCGAATGGAATAGGTTTTAAGGCTCTATCTCTCATAGTTCCCGAGATAATCGCGAAAAACGAAAGTCCCAAAAAAATTAATTTAATTTATCTTGTACAGGGGGTAGGAAGTGGAAAAATGCAATTCTGAGCCGTCCGCCTGCCCATCGGGAACCCAAATTTCCTCAGGAATCGAATGGAATAGGTTTTAAGGCTCTATCTCTCATAGTTCCCGAGATAATCGCGAAAAACGAAAGTCCCAAAAAAATTAATTTAATTTATCTTGTACAGGGGGTAGGAAGTGGAAAAATGCAATTCTGAGCCGTCCGCCTGCCCATCGGGAACCCAAATTTCCTCAGGAATCGAATGGAATAGGTTTTAAGGCTCTATCTCTCATAGTTCCCGAGATAATCGCGAAAAACGAAAGTCCCAAAAAAATTAATTTAATTCATCTCGTATAGGGTGCAGGAAGTGGAAAAATGCAACTCTGAGCCGTCCACCTTCCTATAGGGGACCCAAATTTGGTTTTAAGGCTCTCTCTCTCATAGTTCCCGAGATAATCGCGAAAAACGAAGGTCCCAAAAAAAATTAATTTAATTCATCTCGTATAGGGTGCAGGAAGTGGAAAAATGCAACTCTGAGCCGTCCACCTTCCTATAGGGGACCCAAATTTGGGTTTAAGGCTCTATCTCTCATAGTTTCCGAGATAATCGCGAAAAACGAAAGTCCCAAAAAAAATTAATTTAATTTATCTTGTACAGGGTGTAGGAAGTAGAAGAACGCAATTCTGAACCGCCCATCTTCCTATAGGAGGCCCAAATTTCCTCAGGAATCGAATGGAATAGGTTTTAAGGCTCTATCTCTCATAGTTCCCGAGATAATCGCGAAAAACGAAGGTCCCAAAAAAAATTAATTTAATTCATCTCGTATAGGGTGCAGGAAGTGGAAAAATGCAACTCTGAGCCGTCCACCTTCCTATAGGGGACCCAAATTTGGGTTTAAGGCTCTATCTCTCATAGTTTCCGAGATAATCGCGAAAAACGAAAGTCCCAAAAAAAATTAATTTAATTTATCTTGTACAGGGTGTAGGAAGTAGAAGAACGCAATTCTGAACCGCCCATCTTCCTATAGGAGGCCCAAATTTCCTCAGGAATCGAATGGAATAGGTTTTAAGGCTCTATCTCTCATAGTTCCCGAGATAATCGCGAAAAACGAAGGTCCCAAAAAAAATTAATTTAATTCATCTCGTATAGGGTGCAGGAAGTGGAAAAATGCAACTCTGAGCCGTCCACCTTCCTATAGGGGACCCAAATTTGGGTTTAAGGCTCTATCTCTCATAGTTTCCGAGATAATCGCGAAAAACGAAAGTCCCAAAAAAAATTAATTTAATTTATCTTGTACAGGGTGTAGGAAGTAGAAGAACGCAATTCTGAACCGCCCATCTTCCTATAGGAGGCCCAAATTTCCTCAGGAATCGAATGGAATAGGTTTTAAGGCTCTATCTCTCATAGTTCCCGAGATAATCGCGAAAAACGAAGGTCCCAAAAAAAATTAATTTAATTCATCTCGTATAGGGTGCAGGAAGTGGAAAAATGCAACTCTGAGCCGTCCACCTTCCTATAGGGGACCCAAATTTGGGTTTAAGGCTCTATCTCTCATAGTTTCCGAGATAATCGCGAAAAACGAAAGTCCCAAAAAAAATTAATTTAATTTATCTTGTACAGGGTGTAGGAAGTAGAAGAACGCAATTCTGAACCGCCCATCTTCCTATAGGAGGCCCAAATTTCCTCAGGAATCGAATGGAATAGGTTTTAAGGCTCTATCTCTCATAGTTCCCGAGATAATCGCGAAAAACGAAGGTCCCAAAAAAAATTAATTTAATTCATCTCGTATAGGGTGCAGGAAGTGGAAAAATGCAACTCTGAGCCGTCCACCTTCCTATAGGGGACCCAAATTTGGGTTTAAGGCTCTATCTCTCATAGTTTCCGAGATAATCGCGAAAAACGAAAGTCCCAAAAAAAATTAATTTAATTTATCTTGTACAGGGTGTAGGAAGTAGAAGAACGCAATTCTGAACCGCCCATCTTCCTATAGGAGGCCCAAATTTCCTCAGGAATCGAATGGAATAGGTTTTAAGGCTCTATCTCTCATAGTTCCCGAGATAATCGCGAAAAACGAAGGTCCCAAAAAAAATTAATTTAATTCATCTCGTATAGGGTGCAGGAAGTGGAAAAATGCAACTCTGAGCCGTCCACCTTCCTATAGGGGACCCAAATTTGGGTTTAAGGCTCTATCTCTCATAGTTTCCGAGATAATCGCGAAAAACGAAAGTCCCAAAAAAAATTAATTTAATTTATCTTGTACAGGGTGTAGGAAGTAGAAGAACGCAATTCTGAACCGCCCATCTTCCTATAGGAGGCCCAAATTTCCTCAGGAATCGAATGGAATAGGTTTTAAGGCTCTATCTCTCATAGTTCCCGAGATAATCGCGAAAAACGAAGGTCCCAAAAAAAATTAATTTAATTCATCTCGTATAGGGTGCAGGAAGTGGAAAAATGCAACTCTGAGCCGTCCACCTTCCTATAGGGGACCCAAATTTGGGTTTAAGGCTCTATCTCTCATAGTTTCCGAGATAATCGCGAAAAACGAAAGTCCCAAAAAAAATTAATTTAATTTATCTTGTACAGGGTGTAGGAAGTAGAAGAACGCAATTCTGAACCGCCCATCTTCCTATAGGAGGCCCAAATTTCCTCAGGAATCGAATGGAATAGGTTTTAAGGCTCTATCTCTCATAGTTCCCGAGATAATCGCGAAAAACGAAGGTCCCAAAAAAAATTAATTTAATTCATCTCGTATAGGGTGCAGGAAGTGGAAAAATGCAACTCTGAGCCGTCCACCTTCCTATAGGGGACCCAAATTTGGGTTTAAGGCTCTATCTCTCATAGTTTCCGAGATAATCGCGAAAAACGAAAGTCCCAAAAAAAATTAATTTAATTTATCTTGTACAGGGTGTAGGAAGTAGAAGAACGCAATTCTGAACCGCCCATCTTCCTATAGGAGGCCCAAATTTCCTCAGGAATCGAATGGAATAGGTTTTAAGGCTCTATCTCTCATAGTTCCCGAGATAATCGCGAAAAACGAAGGTCCCAAAAAAAATTAATTTAATTCATCTCGTATAGGGTGCAGGAAGTGGAAAAATGCAACTCTGAGCCGTCCACCTTCCTATAGGGGACCCAAATTTGGGTTTAAGGCTCTATCTCTCATAGTTTCCGAGATAATCGCGAAAAACGAAAGTCCCAAAAAAAATTAATTTAATTTATCTTGTACAGGGTGTAGGAAGTAGAAGAACGCAATTCTGAACCGCCCATCTTCCTATAGGAGGCCCAAATTTCCTCAGGAATCGAATGGAATAGGTTTTAAGGCTCTATCTCTCATATTTTCCGAGATAATCGCGAAAAACGAAAGCCAAAAAAAAATTAATTTAATTCGTCTTGTATAGGGTGTAGCTAAACATCGCATCTACGACAAATTCACAAACATGGTTATTCTATCCCCAATATCTCTTTCTCTCACACCTACACGTTCTCAATAATGTCGGTAGGAAGCCGTGGAGGAAGGTGAACGCTCCAAGAAGAACCTCTTCATAGAGCTCGTGAGAACGCGAGGCAATCGTCGAGGACTTCTCATCCTCCTAGGCCTGAAGGCGACGCAACAATTCTCCGGACACATGGCGCTGGTAGCCTACACCCAGGAGATCTTCTCCCACAGCGGTTCATCTCTACCCCCGGAGCAGGCGGTGGTTGTTCTCGGTGTCTGCCAATTGCTCGCTGGTTTCCTAGCAGCAGGACTAGTCGATCGTCTCGGCAGGCGGTTCCTCATGCTAGTCTCGGGCTTATCAGCAGCAGTGGCACTCGTCGCCGTCGGTGTCTTCTTCTACCTCAAGTACCACCTCCAAGCCGATGTCTCCTCCATCACCTGGTTGCCGATCGCAGCCCTCATCGCCTACGACGTCATGGAGGTGCTTGGCATCGGAACACTACCTTACGTTCTCCTCGGAGAGCTGTTTCCCACGAATGTCAAGGGCGCAGCTGTCGCCCTAGGGATCGTCGTCGGATCGGTTTTCGCGTCGCTAGTCGGTCTTGGCTTTCAGGCCATGAACACCACTGTCGGAATCCACTGGACCTTCTGGATATTCGCCATTTGCTGCGCCCTGGGGACGCTGTTCGTCTACTTCATCACACCTGAGACCAAGGGAAAGACTCTGGAGGAGATACAGCTGAAGCTGAATCCACCCAAGAGGCCACAACCTGCGCTACCGTGAGTGGGTGACTCTTAGAGACGACTCAAGTGGGAGAGATCTGTGATACATGTTGATTTTTTAGGCTATTTATTTTTTTGATATTATGAGGGACGTTGATTATCTGTTGTTCAATTCTTTCATATTGTAGGATTAAAATAAATACTCTTGTACAAATGGATTGGGTGTTCGGTTTATTTCGGGAACAGCTTTAAAGGCTTTACATTTACATTTTTTGCTTCTGAAGGGAAGCTTTGTATTCAGTGCGAACCCTGCGGCAATGTTGGGGCAATGTTGAATCGTAGAAGTCAGTTTAACGTACATCGTCATAGAAATTGCATTCGGAAGCAAATTGCTAATTTGCCACTGGTTTTTCTCTCTACATTATAAAAATTCTAATCGACTTCTGGTGATAAAAATTTGGTACTCGCAATTGAGACTCCAAAATTAAGGGTCAAAATAAGGGTCACGGGGGTCAAAATAATCGTCATGAGGGTCAGCATAAGGATCACGATGGTCAAAATGAGGGTTATGAGGGTTAGAATGAGGATCACACGGGTCAGATTAAGGGTCGCAAGGATCAGATTAAGGGTCATGAGCGTCATAGTAAGGGTCACAAGGGTCACAATAAGGTCTAAATAATGGTTACAAGAGTGAGATTAAGGGTCATATGAATCAGATTAAGGGTCATGGGAGTTAGAACCTAAGGGTCGCAAGGGTCAACATACGGATCTCTATATTATAAAAATCCAAATCAACTTCTGGTGATGAAAATTTGGTACTCGAAATTAAGACTCCAAAATTAAGGGTCAGAAATGAAGGTTCAAAATCAGAGTCACAAGGGGTATAATGAGGGTCAGAATGAGAGTCATGAGGGCCTAGCCCCGTAGTATTTAAAAAACAAATTTACAAAGCTTCGCATTCCGCGACCAGTCATAAAAATTAATGAGTTGTTTACCAAAGCCACGTGTTGAATTTCCTAATTACCTAGTTTTATCAATTCTCCCACGTATGCTCTAACAACAAATAGACGCGAAAGAATTAATATATTTCCATCACGTAGAATATAGAGCGAGGAACCAGACAGAATTTATGAAGTCCTCCCAGAGGGCCATCCACAGAGAATGGGAATCAACCATGCCGCTGGCACAACGGATAATTTAATCTCGAGGTGTCTTAATTCTCATCTATATTTTTTGGTACTCACCTTTGTTTCTCGCATGCTTTGCAGACAAAAGGTTCCAAGGGGGGAGATGTATAATTCTGTTTCTCGAGGATACTTGTAGTTTTCCCCTGTCTGGTGGCATCACTTGAAATCAAATACTCGTGCAGTTGAACGGAGGAAGTGGATTATCCTTGACATGCATCAGTCGACTCGGCAGATCTCCGAAGGCAGACAAATCGAATTAATTATTTTCCTTATGATCTCCCCCTGACCGGAATTTTTTCTTCTCCAACGATAAATCTCTCCTGATACATTTCCAATGTCTGGAAAGAGCTGGATTATTTAATGATAATTTGTTGTGGTCTCACATGGCCTCGGGCGTTCAACTCACCTCAATTATCATAAGATGGCAGTCTGAGGCGCCTGGCCTCTGCATTAATCGGAAAACAGCGAGATAAGTTGCTGATGGTGACGTCAGTGCGAGTGGAATCTGCGGAATGTTGGCTGAAAAATTCCCCGCTCAAGGTGTTAATTAACGAGGTAAGTGATTCCAGGTAGTTTGTTTCCCTTTTTCCTCAATAGCCGGTGGTTTATGGCCGTGTTTTACGAAGACAATTAATCATAATGCGTTGATTATTCAGTTTGTCTGGGTAATTACGATGAATACTTCTTCATTGTTCCATTGCATATTCCGGTTTGTTCATCGCGGATGGATAAACAATGTCTTAAATTAAGACGTAGGGAGGGGGATTAACCCTAGACTGGTCACCATGCGAGGGAATTGCCGCAACACGTCGTTTTATTCACCTTGCCATCGACTGGTTGACCGGAAAAATTTGAGAAAAATTGAATTCGTTAACTGAAGTATCTGGAAAATTCTAGTATTTTTTTTTCAATATTGTATCCTTAATTCTGGGAGAAAAAAAAATATTTCCGACGGGTGAACAATTTTTTCCCGTGTTAAATGAAATTGCCTGTTGCGCGACGTTGCTGGGAACTCGGTAAACGCGCCCGGGAAGTGTAGAGTGGATCCGGCAACGCTGGGGCCTACATAACAGCGCCACTCTCCCGCGGAGGTGACTAAAGTCGCATTTTCCCGTCAGGTGACCAGACTAGGGTTAAGATACTTTTTCATCACTTGTGCGTAAAGTGAAATTTTGCACACGCGGAACGTGCTCGTGATGAAAAGTTCAATATGTTCTTTATAAATTTGAAACATATGGAATCGGTCCATATTATATTTTTCATCACGCTGTAACGAAAAGTGAACTTTTCGGCACGCTCCGCGTGCCTAAAAGCCCAATTTCCGCCACATTGTGATGAAAAATATTGTTCGTAACTCGTGAAAAAATGTTTTTTAGCTCGTGATATAAACCTCCCACTCGCCAAAATAGTATATTTCGTAACGAGTGCAAAAAACATTTTTTCACGAGTTCCGAACAATATTTTTCATCACAATGTGGCGGAAATTGGACAATTTTGGAAAAGTTTTTGGAAAAGTTCACTTTTCGTCACAGCGTGATGAAAAACACTTTTTTTACACTCGTTACGAAATATACTATTTTGATGGGATGAATTTTCTTTTGAATTTAGTCTTAATGTCACATAAACTGTCGAATGAAAAAAATTGAAAAAGCTCTGAAAAATCTCTATCGCAACATAAAATCATTGAAATCCCATGATAACATGATATCGCAATCGTCTCCGTTGACCAGTCCCCAACATATTCACGACCGCCGTTCCACTAGATTTAACATCGTCTGAACATCAACCTCTACCCCCTCTTCCAGGCTTATTGAGGGTAAGTACGTAGTTTTCCCCCAGATTTTCAGCGTCTTACGGTCAAACCAAGAGTTAAGCTTGCTGGTGGCTGTTATACGAGCCCTCGAAACGAGCCACCCAATCTACCCGGGTCATGCCATGTTGTGTAACCAGCGCTTTTTACTTCCATTTTTTCTTCCTCCACGTACAAATTAGATGGCGGTTGGTCAACCTGAGGAAATGGGTGACAAGGATGCCATCGTAAAAAAACACACGAGCCAGTGGAAACCGAATCACCGGTGAT